TTGAGTTCGGGGTTGCAGCGGCAGGACCAATAAGCCGATCAAGGCGGTCAAAGAACGGCCAGCGGCTAGGGCCACAGCCGCTAACAACCTTCTGTTTCTCAACCTTATACTTCTTCTTGACCGTATCGATTCGATTTTTGCACTGTATATCCGTCTTTGGAACCTTGGTGAAATCTTCCCTGCTACTAACAATGTCCGCCACTTCTTTCCAATGTTTCTGCTTCAGATTTCCTCTGCTTAACTCCATGTACCTCTCCCCCCATGCGTCGATCAACACCGATGTCGCTCCTTCGCTCCAACAATCCTCTCTCCCTCCTCCTCCTCCACCACTACCACCGCCTCCTCCGCCGCTGCTACCACCAATTCCGGCGGGAGCAAGGATGGCGAGGGGGCGAGGGAATTGCTGGATCGGAAGCGCGAGAGTGAGGGAACTCTGCGACAATTGGGGCGGTGGTTGAGGAGTTGAAGAAGAGGGTGTCGAAGACGGAGGTGCCGCCGCAACTGTAACCGTGATTTGACCGGAAGGTGGTGAAGGAGGTTCGCTTCCGATTGAGGTGTGGGACCGGGTATCGTCATCTTCGTCCATGGATCTATGAAGAGAAGAGGAGAGAGAATATTAGGGTTTATTTTTAGAGAGAGAAAGAGGTTGTTGGTTGGTTAGATTGATTGAATTGAAATTGCCGTTTAGGGTGACGGGAAAGGAAGGGGGGAAATTTGACGGCGTGTGTTCGTCAAGACATAGGAAACCGAGGAAGGACACGTGGCAGGAAAGAGTCGGAGAATTTGGTGGGGTAATGTAGGTTGGGAGACTTGGAACTGCCGGTTAATCGGTCATCGGAGTCATTAATAAGTCTCATTTTGCCGGCTTTTAGGTAGATGGATTTGTGTGAGGGTATTCACCTATTTGGTTTTAGCTTTGCCTGTTTTTATGGAGTTTTTGTTGTTGTTGTTTTTTTTTTTTTTTTTTTTTTTTTACCACTGTTTAATTACGGTAATACCCTTGTGTTAATGTGGTTTTAATAATGTTGATTAGGGGAAAGAGGGTGATTAATTGGTCGGTTTATTTGTGGTAACCAGGATTGGAAATTGTAGAAAAGATGAGTTCGTCTTTTTCAACTTTGGAGTAGTACTTTGAAAAGATGCCTCCGTGTCATGTTGGGTTGTGTCTCAGACCTACGTGTTTTGGTGTTAGCTAGGTCTGACCCATGGCTCGATCCATGAGTTTCGTGTCGTGCCATTTACATCTAAAATGTTAGGGCATAACATATACTCTTTGGTCATGGGAAAAATTGTCGTACACTCTCACATTTTAAAAAAAAAATAGATTGAGAGTTATTGTAATAAATTTATATTTGTGAGTACTCTCAATGTCAACTGATTTTAAAATGTAACTTCCTTGTACCAATTACATTTATCTTGACAAAGGCTTACCTCGTGGTCCAATATCATATGAATATACTTTTAACAACACTAACCGTTTGTAACAATTTAAATTTGTTTACGATTATGCAATTCATGGTTTGATTTTATTACAACAAACCAAATCAATTGCAAATAATAATAAGAATAATACTTTGCAAAGGTCAAATAACACTCTCAATACATAACATGCGATTGACTTGCAATTACGTCTCTATTTTTTTTTAAACTAAATCACAAACCAAATTTTATTACATAGTTTATATAAGCTATGTACTAAAGATGGGCATCGTGTCGTGCCGGGATGGGGCTCATGCCGTGCCGGCTTGGTGGCGGGTCGTGCCAAGTTTTGGCACACCCTAGCCCACGGCATGACACGGCACGGCCCACGTGCTTGGCAGGTCGTGTCGTGCCGCGGGCCACCACAGTTTTTTAATTTTTTTTTTATTTTTAAAAATATATATACTATACAAAATCGATATATATATTACAAAATTAACGTGCCGGCAGGCCGACGATCGTGTTGTGCCAAATTTCAAGATTTGTGTTCACGACACGGCCCACAAGTGGGCCGCCGTGCCGGAATCGTGTCGGGCTCGTGCCGCCCGCGTGCTGGCACGGCCCATGCCCACCTTTACCATGTACTATGTATTGAGTTATTAGCTATCAAGTCAAACCTCGAACACCCCTATGGACTACAGCCCTACTTAGAGTCTGTTCATATTTACTGAACTGGACTAAATAGAGATGAAATGAATAGTTTATTATAGAAGGAAATTAGAAGCTCAAGTGAAATTAGGGTGAAGTGAAAAAAGTCTTTAGTTGTGTGGTACTAACAGATGGATATAATTTAAAGCCTTAAGCAATAACCCATGAAAGAAGAAGGGTCAATTAGACTAAAAATCAATGAATATAGACGAGCACAATACCGAATAATAATGCGGCAGGTGACTAGGATCGTCATTGAAAGTACTCTTTTAAAACAGCAGCAACTACTCTTACCAAACGAGGTAAAACAATTGGATGAAAATTATTGTGCTTGAGAAATAAGTCCACCAGTTTAACTAACTAATGTCGGAATTACTTAAGCTACTAACCAAGAAAATGATCAAGTTAGAAACATTTAAGTTTTTAACTTAAAACTTAAAATGTGACATTTAGAACTGAAGTACTCCTGAATTATTAGGTTGCCACTTCCCAGCGTATAGCATCAGCTAAACTTCCCAACTTATCTACAGAATTTCTCACATTTTTTTATTGCCCATATTTTCTGAAATTATTAGAAAAACTTCCAAATTTTAGTCTATTACTCCTTCCGTGACTCTGTCCCATAATACTTGACATAGTTATTATTTTTGTTCATCCCAAAATACTTGACGTGTCACTAAATATGAAAATAGACCACTAATAATAAATATTTTACTCAAAACTCAATTAAATCTTACATTTTCTCTCGCCTCACTACCCCTACCTTCCCCGCTTTTCATTTTCTTACAATATAAAAATACGAAAGGCAATCCTTTATGTATAAACACTAGTTTTTACCCTATACAATGTACGGATTCATAACAACAGAACATGTAAATAATAAAAGTAAGGGGTCGAGTAACCTACCATGCGAAAACTACTTAGATTAATTCTCCCAAAAAAAAATTACAGTACCAAATCAACAACATTGTAAGTTTTGTAAAGGTTCCTAGTTTATTTTAAGGAAGAAGAAAACATGAAACATGCTTTACATTTGAAATCCTGCTATTATTCCCTTAGACCCTTAATATGGGCTGTTTCTTGGAGCTTTTTATACAAAAGACAAATTTATAAGTTTAAAGGATTGGCTAAAACAGATTGGGCCTAGCCCATTTATTTTCATTTCAATGAGGCAAATTGGGCTGGTTTGGGCTTAACACACTTATTTTCATTTTTTGGATTAGTTTTATTACAGATCCTAGTTTTTTTTTTCCTTAGTTTTGAATCAAAATCCAATTTAATCAAGTTGATTTTAAATTGGGTCAAAATATGGATCTCTAGTCTTTCGCCAAAAAATAAAATACAAAATTTAGGGCTTATTTGACATCATTTTTTATTTTCAGTTTTTTTTTTTTTTTTTAAAACAAAAAACCAAAAACTAAGGGCTTGTTTGACATCATTTTTGGTTTTTAGTTTTCTTTTTTTAAAAAAACTAAAAACAGGAAACAAGAATAAGGTGTTTCCACATTTTTGTTGTCAGTTTTCAAAATTATCATGATTTTAATAAGTTTAAATAATTTTTGATACATTATGTGACATATATCATATACTTTTATACAATAAAAAACCAAAAAAAGAAAACCACAGCAATGCCAAATGAACCCTAAAAATAAGAAAAAGGCGTTTCCATTTTTTTGTTGCTATTTTTCAAAATTATCAATAATACATATCATATGATTTTGAAAACTTAAAAAAATAATAATAAAAACCACAACGTTGTCAAATAAACCCTTAGATGTCTAGTTGTAATTCTTTTCGTAAATCATATCTACCTATACTATATATTAAAAGGTATTCCTAATCAAGAATACACGTCATGTGGCACACCAATGCTTATGTCAAGAATTGAACTCGACTTCATTAGAAAATGGATAAGAAGTTATACCATCTTTGCTATCTAATACTTTTGTTTATTTATTCTTCTTGAATATAGTTTATATATGGCATGAGATTTTTGTTTCATACAAAATATTTTCTTAATCTAAATCTATAATAAAAGTTTTTTTTTTTTAAACGGATGATAAAAGTATTTAAGATTATTATAATACAAGAAAACTATAATTCAAAGTAAAAAAATATTTAACATAAAGATCCGGCATCGCGCGGGCTAAACAGTAGTTGATTTAATTAAGCACGGTCAACAATTTGATCATATGAGATAAGGCATCTACAGACTAAAGTAGTAACCAGATTATCTTATTTCTTCAAAAAAACATTAAAAAGTAACTGGATTATCTTCAACTTGACAGCTTGGATGTGACATTTGGACTTTTGGAGCTAATCATAAACTCTTCCAGCAAAAAAAAAAATCTACTAACATGTTACCATTTGCAAGAAATCCAAATTTATTCATCAATATACCTTCCCGCTTAGTTGTCAAAATTTCAAGGTAACACTTTATTAAAGTGAGTTGCGTTTCATAATTGGCTAAATGTGGATCAATATAAAACTAGTTAAAATATCTCCTATGTTTTTTTTTTTTTTGTTTTTTTTTAAAGATAGATATCTCCTACAGAATACTAATTCCAATCAAAATTGATATAATCTAGATAGTTGTGCTTATTAATCGTGGAGTATTGAATTGAGAGTTTTGTGACGAATTCACATGTTTTATCATAAAACCCATCATAAAAGGGACGGAATAGATTTAAGCATGTTATTAATGGGTTTTTTTTAAATGGTTTAATTTTTTTTACCAATAGATAATTTTTACTCCGTACAACATTGAGTTTTCTTAAAGAATTTCTGAAAATCAAGTTGTAAAATTTTAATACATACCAAGAACAAACTTTTTTTTTTGACAGGATGATAAAACAAAAGGAGCTGAGACAAAATTGTGAAAATAAGTGGGCTTCCATTAGAATTGAAGAAAGGTGCACAAGATGTTACAACATTTTTACAATACCTAAAGGCAAGCTAAGGAAATAAAGAGAAATATGTACAAAACTACAAATTATTAAATCTAAAAGGGGTCCATAAAATATATACATTGGCCCCAAGAAAAAAATTTACAAAAAGAAAAAAAAAATTCCAAAAAAAAAAGGGGCACATTTCTTCTTTTCCTATCAGAAGCCCAAAAGCCAAATGGTTGAAAAAACTCTAAAGTGTCAACCATCTTTTTATTGACCCTTGTATTAGTAGGGAAACTCCATCTTTTTATGAAGATTAAACTTCATAATGCATTAGTACCCCAGTTAATTGTATCGTAGTATTATACGTACCTTATATAAAGTGATTATATATAATACGTATATTAAAACTATATAATACTTTTTATAAAAGGGATGTCCAACCAGCAAAAAAGAAAATTGTCACTCTCCAGGGTCCAGGCCATTGTTGTTAACGGTCCAAAGCACTTATCATGATCCTGTACCACATCATCACCAATATAATTTATTAATTTAATTACTACTAATAATGAAAAAAAATTATCAAAATACATACTCCGTACTTGGTAATACCTACCATTATACGTACCAATTCTATTAATTGATTTAATTCGCAGCGTATATATTCATATGTATTAGTATAACTTTGTTCTTTATGTAATTCTATATTTCTATAAATGTTAGGTTGTATGAATTTGACAAGAACTCCACATTTTTATGTCGGTATGATGTTATATATGAATGTATCTCTTATCTTCACCTTATAATTACACTTTAAAAATTTACTCTGTACGACGTCTTAGATAGTTACACCACCACTTCAATATATCAAATCGCGTATGTAAAAATAAATTAGAGTTTAATTTCATACTAGATCAAGCCATGTACGATCGTTTCCATCTACTTTATATTTATTAAGAAACATCGATCTTTAATCATTTACTCCAACATATAGTACTAACAAACAAGAAACCAAAACTACGCCTAGTCACCTACTAAAGTATTTTATTGTAACATACATACGTATTATTTGGTACATATAAATTAAATTATCATGTTTACATCACGTCACAAGATTAGATCCGACGAGATGTAGACTAACCTAACCCATCCTTACAATTAACTCATTAATTATTTAGAACAAATACGTATGCATATCAATATTTGTTTTCATTACAAAATTTATTCAGAGAGGACATAATATAAGTCTAGGTTACTAACGAAGAAATCAAACAAGCAAATTAATTAATTAATAAAGCGAAAGAATGAAAGCAAAAAAGAACAAAGATGTGAAAGAGAGAGAAATCGAACCAGTCATAAACAGGGCTAGTCGGCTCAGCATGTTCCGACGGTTCAAACGTCGGTTTTTTCCTCATCATTCGTCGCTTCAAATCCGGACTCTTTCCCGTTGCTGTGGTAATTATACATGCAACACATCATGCATGAATTATATATATATAGCTTCAATACATATATATAATTTTTACCACAGCCTAAAATTATAATTCCTTTTTTCAATTTTTATGCTACAATTAAAAACAAATATTTAGGCTCTGATTGAAATAGTCAACTCATTAAATCCCATATATGATGTTTGTAGAAGTATATTATTTTATTATTGTAATGAAAATTACATCAAACATGAATCATTGTCCTCGTGAGATCGATCATAAATACGTTTATTTATTGATTAATGAATACGAGTAATATTTGGTTTCATTTTAAAATTGTGTTGCATTATTGTAATAGCAGTACACTAAAAATAAATTCGTTAATTAATGTAGATATCGTATAAATTTTTATTAAATAATAATTAAATTTAAAATAAATGAAAGAGTAAAACAATAAATGTAGGAAGAGTGAAGACTTACGTGAGAAAGAAGAGGAGGGACCACTAGAGGTAGAAGAAGGGGAAGAAGCAGCAGATTCAGGTTCAACCGTAAGACTCTTGGTACGAAGGATGGTAATGCTACGAGAAACGGGAACCGTTTGATCATGATCATCGCGACGATCATGATCTTGATAACGAGTAGTGTTAGTAACAATGGGATGATCGGGTGATCGAGCGGCTGATAATGATTTATACTTCCGGAGTTTACCTAGACCCTTATCGGGTGCAGGTCCGGCTAATGTTTCATCCCATAGTCTATCTAGGAATCCCATTCGTATGTTTTTTAATACCGCGATTTTAAGAGAGATAATTTATTTTCTCTAAGGAATGTTACAAAATGTTAATTATTTCTTTGATAGATTAGTGTAAGGAGGGTTTGGGACAAATTTGGGGGGTGTTTGATAATTAAATTTGGAGTGAGAATTTTTAGAAAAGTGTTGGAATGAAGAGTGAGAAAGGGGTTTTATAGAAGGAAAAAGGGTGTTGAAGGGGGGTAGTGGATAAGAATTAGTTGGATAAAGAAACTCCTATTTGTAAGGAATATTGAAGAATCAAGAGCCATCTAAATATTTAGGTAAGTATGATGTGGAGTTGGGTAATATAATCCTTTTTTTTTGTGTGATTCTAGTCTAATTATTAGTATGACATCTAAATGAGTTTTATTTCTACGGTAAAGATATAATATCTCCTTTTGACTAGTCATGTGACAGTGTGTTATTATCTTTACCCTGACACCGTGTTATCCTTACAGTTTAATGTATTTGTGATGAACCATTCTTGTAAAGTGTTTAATATAAGTTATTTCAAATGTATAATTTAATATAAAAAATAAAATTATTCTGGTAAATAATTTAAGATAAGTTATCTTATATTTGCATTTTAATAATAATAATAATAATAATAATAATAATAATAATAATAATAATAATAATTAGTTTAAGTGTAACATGCCCTTCAATTCCAGTTTTCCACATATTGCATTGACAATAAAAAGTCAAAATGTCACTGTATATACTTTCTCTGTTTTTTTAATTGACATTTTTCTATTATCACGCTTGCCAACGCATGTTTTAAACGATTAATATATCTAATTATTAATATTATAAAATTATAAAAAGTGTATATTAATAAAAATATGCATTGAAATGATTCAAATAAGGACTTTTTGTGAAAAACTACCTTATATACATAATTTTTTGTGAAAATCTACCTTATAAAAAAAATGTTGTAAGAAACTACCTTATAAAAGCTAAATATTGTAAGTTGCTACCATGTGCTTAATTTAACAATGAAAGAGAAGGGGAATTAGGGGTTATGAGGAGGCTATGGAGAAATTGGGTGGAAAAAGGAGAAAAATTGATTGAAAATAGGTCATTAAACGTCTCTTATTCAATGCAATAATTCGACAAAAAGGTCATTTTTTACAATATGAATTGTTTTATAAGATAGTTTCTTACAACATCTATTTTTAAAAGGTAGTTTCTTACAACATCTATTGTTTAAAAGGTAGTTTCTTACAACATTTTTTTAATAAGGTAGTTTTTCACAAAATATAATTTGTATAAGGTAGTTCTTCACAAAAAGTCCTTCAAATAAACAAGATCCCACGTGAATATGTTTTATCAAATCTATAAACCACATAAGCGAGTGAAAGCGTGCTGTGTGAATAGTGTAAAAGTCAAACGGTGTCAACTAAAAAAATGGATGAAGTATAAGAAAAGAAAGAAGGCTAAGAAACTATTTTAATGGCTTCTTAATTACAGTATTATTTTCAAAAAGTTAGTTTATTTTTTATTCCTATTCATTTGCACAATATTAGTGTTTAGCCTTTTTTTAGACAAACATCAACCAAGTATTACAAATCTAGCTACAATTAACACTCACTCATATGATGTTGCATGGAAGAAAAAAGGCGAGAATATACAAACATATAATGGTAACGTTAATTTTGGGGACAAAAGGAAGGCAATGATTCGTAAATAGTCATGTTTTGTATTATATATCATTCAAACAAAGCATTATGGCATGGTCAAAACTAACAAAATATCTTCATTGATCATAACATTCATAAGATTCAAAACTCTATTGGCTTATCATATATTATTAATTAAGTTATAGTGTGGAAACAATTTATGAAGGGTCAACCAATTTACATGAGTAAAAATCTAATATCAACTTGCGCGTTTATATTATTTTGACTATGGTTAAATAGTAGTACCACGAATATTAACTAAAGTACCGACATAATCAATATTTAATTTCATTAATTGAATCACGTACAAATATAAATTCCAAATTGATAAAATTTAGTTTAAGGGTTTGTTCTTTTCAGCTTAATTTTAATTTAGTTCAGTTCAATTCAATTTAGCTCGTTTCAGCTCCTAACTTTCCCCTCTCATAAACAATTTATTTCAGCTCTATTCATTTGAAGTTAAATTCAGTTCAGCTCCAATCAGTTCATTTCAATTCAACTTAGTTCAGTAGATCAGAACAAACCCTAATTGTAAATATTTAATGTATTCTACTTGTATTATTTTAAAATGGTAAACACTATTGTAAACTCTGTAAATACAAAATACAACTGTACAATTAGGAGAACATAATATACTCCGTCTAATAATAATAAAACAAGTAGTAATAATAATAAAATAAAGTATTTAAATCATGGTATTATCCAGTATAGTGTGTGAGTGAGTGACTAGGACAAACGAAAGGGGACATAGCATAATGATAAAAATGAGCAAGTTGGAAGTATTTTACGAAAAGTCATTAAGATGACACCTACCCCCATTTTTTAGGATAAGATCGAAATTAGTTGGTTAGCTTCATTTCTTTACTGATTCATCTACGATCCACCGATTGTAAATGTCGACATTTCTTATTTGGACCCACCAAATGCTTTTAGCTACGTACATACATTCGGTGTATTCATTTTCTCATACATACAGAGTATGTACTTTTATATAAATACAAAACTTTCCCTAGAAATAAAATTTCAATAGTGTGTGGTTTCTACAGGTGTGGGTACCTTGCATCGTACCACCGTTTTGCAAAAAGAACATATTATACAAATATAAAGAACATACAACTGTAGGGAAAAGAACATACTATTATAATGTAAAGAACATATACCTAAAGTAAAAAACATATTTGCACCTAAAATTAATGAATAGAACATATGTCCATATTCTTTGATTGTTAGTGTAATGAACATTTATTTGTGATATAATGTTAATTGCTTATTGTAATATGTTCATTGAATTTTGTCTTAAAATTATGGTGGATATATATAAATAATGTTCATTACATAATATCCTCATTTTTTTTTTTGACAAGTAATATCTTCATGTTCTTTATTAATATTACAAATGTTCTTTAGATATACAAAAAAAAAAAAAAAAAAAAAAATGGATGTTGTTTACAAAATTGATATATGTTATTTAAAAAACAACGGTATGTTCGATACAAAACAGCTACATGTTTTTTCCGTGCTTTTTGTAGACTGCTGTAACTTAGAATTTTCAAAATTTCAAGTGTATAACAAAGAAAAATATGTACTCTCTTATCAAAGAAAGCATATTAATTTTTTAAATATGTACTCTCTTACAAAGCGTGGAGTATGTTATAATTCTAAGTATTCCATGTAGAATACTTCTTAGTTCAGTCCCCATATTTCTAACATTTTAATTATAAGTTAATTTCTTTGTAGCTTTTTAATAACTTTATAATTATTTTCAACTCGTATTATACCTTATATTCAACTATTTTGATGAAATGATAATGATAAGTTATTACTATATTTTTTTTTTCCTTTTGTATATAGCTCACAAATTAAAGTCACAAGCTCATCTATCCAACATATGAATTGGAAATGAATAAATAAAAATAGGTTCCAAAAAAGATGAAAATAAGTAGGAAAATGTCATGCGGACCATTGCTTGCTCAACTCTCCCGAGTCCCGGCCGCTTACTCACACTCATGTTACAAACTTACAAATACGTAGTAATACTAAATGCAAAAATGGAATTATACTTTTATCAAGCCAAACTTAATACGTAATACTATTTTTTTTTTTTTTTTGGTAAAAAAGGAAAGGATTGGAACCCCTACTCGCGAGGGGTGACTATTACTATACTCACCTTATTTAAAACATGAATATCAAATGATATAATATCGTCCAAAAGATACCGGTTAGAATCTAACCAATAAGAAGAGACAGTTTCATTAAGGCAAGACAAAATAATTTATCCACCATATCTGTAAAATTTCACTCAGCTCGATCGACTTCAATTCATAATTTCAATCAACCAACCCTTGAACCATATCTTAAATTTCAAGTGCATGGAAGACCCTACCAACACCTAACTTGGTTAATAGCCGCCACCCAAATAAAAATGTAGAATCATTACATTAAGATATATCAAGTCGGTTGCATTTGTCAACTTTTGGAAATTAAGATGAATTCTTCAAGGAAAATTGACCTCCATCAACTCTTCATAATAATTTACTTTTTTCTTTTCACAAATTCATCAATGTAGGGTTTCACTATTGTATTGTATTGTCCAATTATTGTAGGGTTAATGTTCATTTTTGTTTTGCTTTATGTAGTTCGTTGATTTTATATATATATATATATATTTTTTAGTGTTTTGGAGTATGTATAACATTGGTAACTATAATTTGTAGGCGATAATAACCGGTGACAATGACTGGTAAGGCAGTAAGCATGTCTAGCTAAATTTAAAGATTATTAGATTTATTACCCTTACTACAACGTATGATAGACATGCATGCATCACAAATTCACATTATTGATGTTGAATTTATAGGTAAGTTCTAAGGGTTTGTTCCTTTCAGCTTAATTTCAATTCAGTTTTTTTTTTTTTATTATTATTTTTGTTAATTTATTCTATTTCTGTCAGTTCAATCCTAATCAGTTTAGTTCATTTTTTTTAGTAAATCGGAGCAACCCCAAGTTTCATCAAAATGTTCATGATTTAATTTAATGTAATTCAATCCCTAAAAGTAAATTTATACTCTATAACATATTCTATTATCACTTTAATTAGAAATTATTGAAATAATAAAAATCACTTCAATTTGTATATCATATTTTATTTCAACAAATTTACAAATGAATTCATTATTTACTATATAGTCTATATTACCTATCAAATGGGTGGCGATAGATATAACCATGGGCCGGCGAGTAGGGCTTGGGGTGGGTGAAGTGCTTAATCAGTTGAGCTCATGTCACTTTTTTGGAGGTCATCATCAAATCTTAAATTCTTTGCTTGCAGTGCTCTTTATGTTGACTTTGTTACTATCTTACTAAGGTTTCCACTAGGCTAAAAAAGAGTCAAGGTTACGAGCAACCTAATTAAGTATAATTTACTCAGACAGTGTTGCTTTCAACATTGACCTAATTTCACTAAAGTTGATTGTAAGATTAAGCAATGAATTACTTTGTATATGGGACTATAATATCTATCATTATTGTTTGTTGGATTAAACCCAACCGAAGAACATTGGGCCGAGTAGGACAAGCATGAGATATTATTGTACATGTTGGGCCATTGATTGTGTCTAGGTCACATATTTTGAGAGGAGCCGTGATAACTTGCTACCCGGGATCGGACATTGGAGGGACTATATCTAAGGCAAAATTGTATTTTATTATTGGTATGGACCATACCCAGTAGCGGGTTACCATTACTCGTAGAGTCCCTTATGACATAACCTAACTTGCAAAAATAGATGAGGTTTAGTATGGACATGTAAGCACTACACAACCTTGCACGATGGGTACGTGGGTTGAGAGCATAGGCATGACCTAGGAAATCCCTAGGCAACTGAACTAGGTAAAAGATATAATCATATAACTAAAGTCATCTTTATCAATAAGGTCAGGTGATCCAATACCAAGTAATTTAACTCTATAAAATAGTGAATTTAGAGCTTCCAAATTTAATTTTTTGGCTTAAAACACCCCTACTCAGATGCTATATTCTCATAGTATCGTATCAATATCATTTAAGTATACAAACTGAAAATTTGTACATCACCCAATCTAGGTCTCCTCTTGTACCTTAATACTCCGTTTTTATTCGTTTCAATTACTTGGTAGTACTCAAATATAATTAAAATGGGCTTGAACTTCTCATCTATTACCGATTTACTATCAAAGTAACGTCTACTTTAAGAAATGATTATTGGGCTTAAACCATGACCCATTTATACTTATGGACTCAAAATATGGTCCAATTTTCTTGAAATTTGTATCTACACATATAATTTCATTTTAGATATCAAGTATTAAGACTTATTGAATGCCTATTATAACATATCAATCCGGATTAGGTTAGTGGATTAAACCCTTTGGAAAAACTTAGTACTCCGTAATTTTTAAGATACACTCAAGTACTTTAAGATACAGCATACAAAAACTTTGGACAAAATTTGGCAAGTGCCCAATCTGTGAAAAATATAACGTGCTTAAAAAAAAAATTCCAACTTGCCAATTAAATTAAAAAGGTGTATGAGTTGAAGTACAACTTGCAACCCCTTAATAAAAAAAAAAAGTACAAGTTGAGCAACTCTCATCAATTTGGAGACAGAATATATTGTTCACCAGTGTTCATCAAGATCTTCACTACTTTATTCCATTTAACAGAACAAACATGCTATAACACATTTTTTTTTTATACTAGTAAAAAAAAAAAATTACAACTAGGTGACCTTGACTCTTACACGAATAAGAAGTAAAAAGTGAGCTATGATTATATGAGTTACAAGTACTCGATTATGACACCGTGTCGGTATGTAATTTGTCACAAATTTCTCAATTTTTAATTACGGAGTACTTCCTCCGTTTTTTTTTTTTTTACTTGACCCGCTTTGACTTTTACACTATTCACCACTCTTCCTTTGACCGTCTTTTGTGAATAATATGTAAGAAAAAACATATTCATGTAGGATCTTTTTGAATTCATCTTAATAAGTACTATCATAATATATAATTTTTATAATTATTACTTATGGAGAATTAAAGTTATTGATCATTAAAGTTTTACATTGGTAAGCGTGATAAAAGAAACAGGTCAAGTAAAAAAGAACAGAGGAAGTATATAGTAAGTATATTAAAACTCATTTATTTTAAAAACTAATACATATACATATATACTGATATATACATACGGAGCATTCGTTATACTGCCTCCGTTACATATTATCTGCAACGATTATACATTGTTCTTCTCTATTTTATGTCAAATTGTTACAAATAATATATAAAGGTAGTATTTAATTAGAAAGTGACTTGATAAAAAGGGCAAAGAGAGAAAAAAAGGGGGACAAATATAGAAAGTGACAAAGGAGCATAAATAACACAAGGGGCCTTCATTCACGTGCTGTAGGACCTATTTCTCATTCGGTCACTTCCCACAGAAAAAAGGCCCAAATCTTTACATTCCATGTTTCTTTGCATTTAAATGATAAAGTTGTTTATTAACGTGGTTGCAACTTGCAATTATTGATTTTCATGATATTTTTGGCTCTTTCATGACTGTTTTATACAGATCCACCTTTGTAATCATAAAATTATTAAGACGATCGTTAATCAAATCTGCGATGAAACTAATTCTAAGGTCTGCGATGAAACTAATTCTAAGGTAATTTGTATTTGTTTTGGAATATTAGATTTCCTAAAAATTGTTTATAAGAATTATTTGACTATTTTTTATTAATAAAATCCCTTTTCTTGTTAAAAAAAAATAATTATTATACTTTCTAAACTTCACTTGTCACTTTCATTTTAAGTAATACTCTCTCCGCCCAATTTACTTGACAAGAGAGAATATGTTGTCTTTGAGACTAGTATTGCTGCTTATAGCTCAACTACTATATTGAGGTGAAAGTTTCAAATGAAATTTAGTTATGTAGTAGATTCTAGTACAGGAACAACAAAGCGGCATAATGAGATGTTGGTAATGGCTCAAATAAGTAACTCTCCTTTACCACTCTAATATGATGACATACAATATATAAGAATGCCAAAATTTGGACCCTTTTTCCCATCAAATGGTATCAAATTAAAAACCTCTATAGACACATCTCTTGATGCCAATTTCCTAAACTGAAATTCACCAGTAATTTGAATCAAGTGGAAATGCCGAGTAATCATTTGAAGAAACATCATGGCCGGGTGCAATCTTTTGTTTCCTACCATATCGTCTTCTACTATTATCACGATTGCTGCTACAACTACTACCACCTCCTCCTAGAGTTCTTACGGCTGCTCCCTTTATCCTTCTCGAGTCTCCCCTGCAATCCATCTGTCTTCACGAAACCATCCATAAAAACACAAGAAAGGATTAATATTAAGCTAAATGTCATAAAGTAACAGTTAAAACCTTAAAAACCCAAGATTGTCAAGGTAAGAAGCATGTGTAATACTATACCAGCTATTGACATTACTGGAGCGGATGACTATGAGCTAGCTAGAAGTCATCACTCCTCACTTTGCATCATATCGGCTCTATACACATAGAAGGGTTTAACGAATATCTACCTAGAACACGGACAAATTGCCCAAGAATTAGGCAACATGGGGCAAAATGTCAATATATAGTGCCTGAACTCACCCAAGTTTAACTACACTTTGCTCCTTGGGAATGTCTAGGACATTTTGCCTCAGATTAATTGCCTAAATTGTTATAAGTTTTTTACTCACCAGAATGAAGTAATGATTTTCCAGGTATCATCCAATCCATCCTGAAACAAAAACAAACAAAAACTGCCCTCCCAACTATCAAGTTAAGCGTCCAAAACCCCAAAAGAAAAAAAAAAAAAAGTTCAGTCATTTCACTACCCAAAATAATATCGACTCTAATAAATGACCGACCTAAGGGGCTCTATCAGATCACACTAAGAGGTAGATAGTGTAACCACTCGAAGAAGGAAATATTTTGTGATGCTTGTACTTACCCCTAAACAGAATCTCTCTAAGTTGATATTATTGAAGGATGAAGATGCATCTGTTCTATTCATTCCTACTGAATTCCTCTTGTTATTGATGCATGAACCCTCAATAGAACTGCCATACGAAGATGAACAAGAAGAGTTCATCCCCTGAGACGAGGTTGAAGCGAATGCATCACAACTGTCCCTCTGAAACATATCTTCAAATAACTCCTGTAATTGTTCAAAGCTTTCTTCGCCATTTTCCTGTCAATTTCATAACCAAAAAGAATCACTTCTCCTACATAAATTGATGTTTGTCATCACGAAAAAAATTATTGAAAGTGCATATTGGAAAATTAAATGTCATAGTTTCTCAAAGGCATTCAACAAATATTAACGTTCAACATTATGCAGCCACCATTAAGGAATGAAAATCATAGAAACTAGCCCTACACAGCAAGTTGTGTGACAAAAGCGGCATCAGTTGTCAGAGCTTCAAGTGTAGACATTGCAGTATGCATCACTAGTATTACTGGACCACAAACTGAAACATCTATTACAGTAGCGAACTTACTAGATGTCAGTACTTGTTAAAAGGGACACCGAATCTTTAATGGAGGCCGGTCTAGATACTACTTGCGTATTATGACCCAAATCAGAACATCCCAGATGTGAACAAGAAACTGAGATGTGTATCGTATCCACAACCACAAAGTAGTAAACACACACACACACACACACACAGAAGAAAAAAAAAGGCGTTAATTATTAACCAGAAGAAGACATATTATCAGGTGTTGTACCACTAAGAGCCAAGGAGGGGGGAGTGGCTGAATGCATATAAGCAAAGATTACAAAATAAATGTGAATAGGGTGGAGCATATAATTCTATGACCCAAAAAGCTGATCAGTGGCGAAGTACAGAAATGGCAATGATTGAACTCAATGTAGTGTTTGTAATAGAAGATAGTTGCAGAAACTCACACAGGGTTTGTGTTCGCTCATCATCGTGACCATCTCGTTCAGAAAGTCGCCCATTCCCTGCAATTAAGCCAATGTTAAGACTCAAGAGCTCATATAAAAACCCCATAATAATGCACTATGATAAAGCAAAAAGACTCATATCATGTAGGTGTTCAAGCATAAGCTTAATTAGATCATAAAATGGTTATAGTATGACGTTATGGCGAATTTGTGGCACTTGATTAACTTGTCACAGGATCATATAATTACAACAGCATAGTAAAGGTTGAATGTAGGCGCGTCCTACGACTAGCCCTAGAGACCTATAAGCACTGATGACTGATCAGTAATTCAGTAGGCATGAAGGGGTTAGTAACGAGTGATTATTGCATTCCTTAAGTTTACAAGCACATTCTTGCTCACTCATCTTATTAAGGTACGATGTCATCACCTAAACCACTTGGTAAGGTCCATGACCATTAAAGTTCCAGCCATCTTCGACATATTGGACATCATAAAGATCAGAAATGCAAATGAAATATATTCAAACAGAGAGAAACAGAGAAAAAAGGATGCAGGGTCAAATAATCCACAAGTGATGGTTCTTAATAAAATTGAGTGACACAACTACACAAGTATAGAATAATAGAAAGCAATTTACTCCCTCTTCTCAAACCCCATCTGTTCTCAAAGCAATTTAATAAAATTGATCTTATATGATATAAATTTAATAATTGTTTAAAAGACTAACATGCTCACCATGTACCATAAATCCATAATATATAATTTATATAGTTTATATCATTATATGTAAATTGCAGGAGATCATAAAGCAAGACCAGCTCGTCCACCTGGTTCCGCAGTATGGTATAAGTAACTAACAGTTAGGAGAACTCCGGCTAATGATCTCCCTCCCCGACCCTGACTTAAAGCTCGGAATTTGCCATATACAGCAACTATTGAGTAAATTCTTCAATAGGCACCATGAGCTTGTTAATTCCTAACACATAATAGTATTCTGCAAACGACACAAATTTAGATACCGAGGTCTACTCTTCCCAAATTTGGGCTACAAGTGAACGATGTAATAATGTGATATTCTTAGCTACTCCCTCCGTCTCCTTTTGTTTGCTCCATGGCCCCCTCATGGGCAGAGTAAGTAATTGACATCAATCATGAAACTTAATAAATCATTCCAAATTTTTTCATTCATTCACCAAATTATTTAATCATACTCCACACATTGAAACTCGAAAGCAAGAATAGCAATCAAGGACAAAAGAGGACTCACATGATTGTTTTCGTCATCATCCTTGTCGTAGACTCCAACGTCATACAAAAACCTTTTAGTCTCATCGGATAGAACTGTTCCAAACCACAAAAAAACACTCATAAAAGTAAGCTCAAGCTTCATATTCCTGCCCCCGACATGTCCCTATTTTTTCTAAGTCGATAAATTATTGCATTATCCAAAATAACCGTATCATACTGCTACTTTGGCTCCGTATTATTGCCCCCAAAATTGTCCCTTGCTATATTTTTGAGGTCTAGAAATTATTACGTGATCCAAAATCACCATATAATTACTGATTTAAAATATGCATAATTGTAAACTATATTCTCAACTACTGATCAAATAACATAAGACGTACATGTAATATAGTTACATACTAGTGCACCTAACTTCAAATATATTACTCGTACAGTCGTATGTCACATTTAATTTTGATGGTCAACATAAACTTCGTAGATTAATTGAAAGATGGGATGATCGAATAACAGTGCAAATCATTAGTCACGGGTACAAGTTTGTATATTTGTATTAATGAAACATTTGAGGTCACCAAATGATAAACTTTTTTTCTTTTAATAAAAAATAGCCAAATCACTAACCAACCCACCAACAAATAAAATAATTTTCTAAAAAATTTGGAAAATAAACAGTGAAATTACCAGAATAAGCCTCTTGAATAGCTTGAAATTTCTTCTTCGCTTCTTCCACAAACTTTGAATTTCCGGAAGCAGAACAACGATCCGGATGCCATCTCTACCAATACCAATCCACGAAACAAAATTTAAACCCGGAAATTTTATTAATTCAAATCAAGTTCCGCCAAAGTAATAAATAACACTCCCGAACAAAATAAAACATAATAGTACATCTCGTCATGTCAGAAGATGAGCTACCGTGTTACCCGCCAAACCCGTAAACTAAAGGGAGTAAAAAAAAAAAACACATCAATCTAACCTTAGCAAGCTTCTTGTAAGCATTTTTGAGGTCAGTTGGTGAGCATTCCTTCTCTAAACCAAGTATCTTATAAAAATCAACCCCATTTCTTTCTCCTCCATCTGCCATAGTTACGATTTTTTTTTTAATTGTTGTAATGTAACAAATAAATTGTACTAGTGAAATATATATATTGTCGACAAATTGGATTGAATTTGGCCAAATAATATTAAAAAAAAAGGGCCAAATAATAATGAAGTATGATAGTGGTATAAAAATAGAATAATTAAGTTGGAAAATGTCGGAAGTAACTACATATTTTTTGGGCACGGAAGTTTAGGGAAGAGAGAGGAGAGAGAAAGAAGGAGAAGATGATCTCCTTTCTGTAAACTTGCTGAAACACAAGAACACTCCAGAAATCGCCACTTTATATACTTTTTAAATTCTCAAAATTAAAAATAAAAAAATTATAATAAGAAAACTGTTGGGTTTTTTTTAAAAAAAATTATGAAGGATTACTTCTTTTTTTTTTTTTTTTTTATTTGAAGAATTATGGTAGGATTTCTTAGTTTAAATGCAAGTTGAGATTTTTATTTGTGTATAAAAAATGTAAAAAATTAATTAGGGGTATATCCAGAAGGTTCTGTTTCAACTGTTTTGGGTGAGCTAATGGTGGTCCTAAATTAACTTTGGAAAACTTTTAATTACATAATTCCATTTACGTTTCTATTGCTTTCCCTAAAATACAAAAAACGTTTCTATTGCTATTTTTAGTTGGTAGGTCCAACTTATTAGTATAAATAATCTTTGCATTATGCTAAGATGTCTCTTATGATCTTATGAAAATCATACATATGAAATAAGTGTACATAGGTACTTTCTTAGCACACATTTGAGTATCTAATTGATTTTAGGATAAAACATTAAAATTATTAATGAAAAGTGTGTGTCGTGTGTGTAATGTAATTTTAGGACAAAAACAATAATTACATATTATAAGCTAAAGTTTTTAGTTTGTTAATTTTAAGTAAGGAGTCCAGAAGGATCATTTTGAATCTAATACTTTTAATAGGAAAATTTAGTCAAGTTCATGAAGAATTAGAGAGTTAAATTAACTCGTATATTATAATAAAGTGATTGAATGAATTATAAAGACGTTTACCCATGAAAAATCTTTAATCAATTAAATTGATACACTAATGTGACAAATAATATAATTAATCAAGGAAAACACTTTGTATTATGATATTTGTATGTATATTCCTACTATTTCAATTAATCAATCAAGGTGTCCATGAGAAAATAATTCTTGGGGAATAAATCACAAATTGGGATACGGTGGTTATATAAAAGTCTTAAAATCCAAATAAAGCATGGGATATGGGCCTTGAATTTATAACCAAAAGTAGTGATCTGAGTTTTTGGGTGCTATAAAACAATATCAACCTTCAAAATTTGATATTTTTGTGACAATATATTCAACTATATGTCTATATACCTTTCATTTGTGGTCCAATAATATATAGTTCGCATATATAAATAGTATGTAAGTTTAATTCACTTGTATATATATAGATTAATACAGTCCACGTGATTTTCAGCAACACATCATAGCTATCATACAAAGGAAGGTGCTCGAAAAATATTATACCCTTCCACTCTAAGATCTTAATTCTTAGGGTGATCTCAAATCTTATGGTTACTAAGTGAACACACATACTAGATAGACCTTATATGTAATTTCAGGGTTAAAAGAATATATGGATTAAAAGTTTGGTATTTATGGTAAACTTTAAAGATTTGCAATAACTTTAAAGTTTAATTTTACTCGTAAGATTGTTCTTATTACCTTTTAAATTATGATATTTTTTGTATTTATATTATTAACAAGCAAGGTGTATTCCCCATCATAATACGTTATGTGTAATGATGTAATGTACATAAGATTTGAGCTCAAAAGTAATTTTTGGGTTGTATGGTAAAACAAGACCTTTTCTAATTGTTGGTTAGTTAATTGAGTATTAGATCTAATTGTAGAATCTCGGATTTTAATAATGATATAATAATGAGTACGAGTCACTTTTAAAGTACTAATTAAAGCCTCTATTCGTAAGCTGAGCTGAGGAAAAGAAAAGGTTTTTTTTTTCCTGTAAAATAAAATGCATATCCATTGGTATCTTATCTTAAAAGCAAGTTGTTGAGCGAGGGGAATTTGCTTGAGCGAAGGATCAACCTCAGAGCAAGGCTCTAGAAGACGAAGTTGTAGGCCACTCCTCTACAAGCTCATCCTTAAAAGATAACCATTGTCAATTCATCATGTCATGAATTTATGTTATATTTAGGGGGAGTGTATGTAAGGAAGGATGTTCTAGTTTGAGCATTGATCAAACCTCAGTTGGCCAAGTGATAGTTGTAGTGTCATATTACTCATATATATGAGAAAATTAAAATCTTTGATCAATAAGTTACTAGTTGTAGTTAATTACACATATATGAGAAAATTAAAATCTTTGATCAATGAGTTACAAGCTGTAATTAATTACACATATATGAGAAAAATAAAATCTTTGATCAATAAGTTACAAGTTGTAATTAATTAAGTAATAGTACTCCTAAGAAGATACTTATATAGTTGTAATCAACTCATAAAGTAGATATTTAGAGCTATTTAGGAACAACTTGTACAAACTGACCCAAAATAATTCTTTTTATTTTTTTAATTAAGAGCTAAATTTACCATTTTGACCTTGTGGGAGGATAAAATGGTCTAGAATAACGGCCGAGTTTGAGGATCAACCGATCAAGTGGATGAAGAAGATGACAGCAGTATACTTTGTTGTTGTAAGGGTTGTATCCAATTGTTGAGTCAGATTTTGTTTGCGATATCTTGTAAGTTTAGATCGACCTAATTAGATTTGACATGTCCTTTTGATTGAAATACTTGTACTCTTCAACTGTCGATTGCAAGATTAACCCACTTGCTAAAAGCGTCTTTACATATTAATCACATACTCCATCATTTTCATAGTGGTAATGGGGTAATATTTTAGGGATGAATATATAATTCGTCTTTGTTTGAATTTTGAAATTGATTATCGCGGGAGTATTTATTTTAGACATTTTTTTTAAATATGTTATTGTGTATTTTAAAATGCTAGATTTATTGAGTAAATTGTGCAATCAATGTTACACTCTTACCACTTCAATATATGAAACAAAATCTTGTTTTCACCCAAATCAATAACTGTTATTGAGTTCTTGTGAATATAGACTCACTTTAGCATAACTGCATAAGAACAAAAGTGGACGCTCACTATGGATTTTCTAAGATTGGTACATTTGTTAATACAAGAAAAACCACGCCGAAAGCTCTTGGACCATTTTGCTCTTCTCTCCTCAAAATTATTACGAAGTATTTTTTTATGCAAGCATTCATGATAATACAGAGTATATTATACACCGATTGATTTAGATTTAAGTCAGGTCAAGTCAATAAAAGGAAAACTTTCCACAAATGTTGGTGTTTCTAAGTCTTGGACCTAAGACATTAGTTATGCTTAGAATAATTCCTTTACTAGTTGATCCATTATTAGTTTCTTAAACTAAATCCAATGGTCAAGACCCCAATAAAAAAAGGAATTGTTTTATTTTATGTGAATCATGTCGTAAGGCTTACTAAGTAGTTATACTCTTTTTTCTTTTCAAACGGTTCCATATAACGATTTATGTTAGCCGTTGGGATTAAGACTGTTCAGTTTGGGCATGTTCGGCAAAATATAGCTGTGAAGGTAGTTGTAGCTGTGGAGATAGCTGTGAGCTGTGTATGTAGTTATTAGCTGTCAACAAGCTGTTAGCTGTGAAAAAAGATAATCTAGGTATGATTGTTCGGTAAAGTAGTGGTTGACTAGCTGTTACATTTAAAAATCAATATTTTATTTTTAAAACTATACATTAAATTTTCAAAAGCTACTTCAAAAACTACCTCTAACTTCAAAAGCTAATAATCCTAACTTTTAATAAAAGCTACCTCCACCACTAAAAGCTACTTGAACCATTATTTTGCCAAACACTCACATTTTTTGTTGAGTAATGATTTGACTTGGTCAAACTACTAAAAGCTACCTAAAAGCTACTTAAAAGGTAGCGCCGAACACGCCCTTTGTTGTTGTGAATCATCTCATAGCTCATGGGCCAATGGAAGAACGCCAGCAATGTAAGAGCCAGAGTTCAATCAGAGTAACAGAAATGGGTCACATCTTCTTGGGCTGTATGATCCAGATGTTATGATTCTGGGCTTATTCATATGATTACAAAATAAGTAACAGGATCGTAACTTCACATCCATGGACACATTCAATCACTTCCCACCCACCAACAGATGGGCCATAGGCCTGTCAAGTAGTACTAGTTAGACCTAGATTTGGGCCAACCTTGATTCACCTATGGATTCTGTCAGACCAAAGCTGCATCTATTGTGGGCCTGCTTTTCAATCGATCTATCTCAAGAAAAAATCACTTTAATCAGTTCACTGCTTGAGTTGATGTTCCACAATACATCTACATTAATGTCTACTTCCTCTCTTTCTTAATGTTTGGACAATTTGATTCAAAAAACTCTAGTATAAAATGGACTCATGGTACAAACAAAAGGGGAGAGAGAGACTAATTGTATATGTCCTCCATACTAACGTCTATGTTAAATTGACTGTAATATGGGCATGATGCAAACTCCCTTCCCCCCCCCCCCCACATAGTATTTCACTTGTTTGTTTGGAGTTTTTGCAAATGAGCAAAGAATAGTCTTGGCCGTACAATAATTATGTTACATCCAATTATGTAATACCAATTATGTTAAAAATTGTTGCACCATATTAGATTTTTACACTGTTCATGTATGTTGTATGTTGTATGTTGTATGTTGTATTGACAATGACTTTATTTTATTTATTTATTTATTTTTTAACTATATAAAACATAAATGTTATTAAATAAAAAATAATTAGGTTAGTCGATCTCAATATCGATTTCAAAACTTTTCTTAAAATTTAAAATTAAGGGCTTTTGGCATCATTTTTGATTTTCAGTTTCCTTTTTTTTAAAAAAACAAAAACGGGAAACAAGAAAAAGGTGTTTCCACTTTTCTGTTGTCAGTTTTCAAAATTATCATGATTTTAATAAGTCTAAATATTTTATGTTTCATTATGTGACATATATAACATACTTTTAAAAAATAAAAAAAATAAAAACAGAAAACCACAGCGATGCCAAACAAATCCTAAAATTATGGACTTGTTCTCAAAAATTTCAAAAAGCGTGGATATGTCTTCAATTTTGGAATTTTTTGACTTTTATTCGACCGGAAATAAAAATTGCCGAAATATTTACCATGGTCCCCTAATACCCTCCGGAGTCCAATTGGGTAAGTGGAATCATCTAATTTGCCTTTAAAAGACCAATTTTCCGGTTTACAACTTGCACCGATTTCATTCTTCACTCAAGCCTACCACGAAGATTTAAGACAACATATATTGATCATTTATG